CGCGGTACCAATCCTCACGCAAGCTTGGGCCCCACGTACGGGAGGGTGAAAGTTTTGGCGAGAAAATTGCTAACTCAGGAGAAGGAAAAGCTAGAAAGCTGAAATTTTGGAATTATGTTCCCCGTCCACCTAGAACTCAAAGATTTTGCCCCGGGTATGCGTGTTTCCCGCGTACAGCCCCGTAAGGGTTCCTGGCGCGAATAACTCGAGAACCAGGGAATTTGGGAGGCTGAAATTTTCAGGGAATATTCCCAGCACAGATGCAAATTGAAGTTGTCGAATTCAGGCCCCAACCATGCGTTGTTCTCACGTACGGTGCTGTGAAACTTTTTTGGCGGGAAAGCGGTTAACTCGGAAACCAGGAATGCTGGGAAGCTGAGATTTTAGGAGAACATTCCCTGTCGAAATACAAATTAAAGGTTTCAAATTCAGCCTCCAGGTAAGCGTGGTTCTCGTGTACGGCACTTAAATTTTTGGCGGGAAAATTACTCGTTGAACAACTGGGTCATTTTCAAAAAACGACCGCCAAGCGAAAATTGTTTACTTCTTTTTTTGCAAAATTTACGATGATTTACGGTATTGAGCGCAAAAGATAGGTGTGAAGAAACAACCGTTCATGCAGTTAACCTAATTGCTTCAAGTTTGGTGGAAAAACGAATGATCGCACTGGCTCGCCTGGTGCATTCCAGACTGGGTTGTATTGTGTATATGCAAAAAAACGCACATTGTCGAGAAGTTGTCTATATGTGTGTGTTCGGATGCGGATAAAATTTGTTATCTGTTTTCAGTTCAGGAGTAGAAAGAGCTAGATTTAAGCATTAGAATGAGTTGTAATTAAATTTGGCTTTCTTTTTAAAGTGTGTATATCTACATACACTTTAAATAAGATTGAAGGGCATTTTACCAGTGTCAGTAAACAGACAATCAGAAATGCTACAAATGGCAGTTTGCCTTGGTTCTAGACTTCGAGGTTCTCCAAAGCTCCGAATCAAACCAGAACCAAAGCTCCGAATTTGAAAACACAATGTTTAATTTTTACGAACAAGTAGCAGCGTCTAGGAGTGACCATTAGCTAAGGAAGTGTTGGATTCC